ATTGTGTCTTCAATGTTGTTAGTGCAAGATGCAGAGTTTAGAAAAACCTAATAGTTTGCTTTTGTTAAAAATTCCTGTCTATTGAGTTTATGTCTTTAATCGTATAATATTTTATTTTAGCCGCTTGCGAGCACAGTTAAATTATATTGAAAACAGTTGTGTTACCCAATATGGAGTGTAAACCCATGATTCTGTTTATACCCGTGGCGATCTTTGTCAGATTTGTTTATGGTCTTTTTTATAGCTTTACTCGCAGCTGAAATTGGCCATGTGGCGAACGATAAGTTGATTTTATAGCCGCCTGGTACTAAACTTTCGGTATGTTCATGACCGCATCAGAGAGCCTGTAGCTGACGCTTGTCTGGATTTATTTTATTTATTACATAACTACACATAGTTCAGATGTTTTGTAACAATTATGAAATTAAGTTTGATTTGCTACTCTAGCACTTACTATAAGAACGCTCTATTTTTTCAATTAATTACAAAACAGTCATATACGCTCATAATAAGGACTATTAAGACCTTCAGAGTTGAGACCTGGGGCTCCACTAAACCATCTAATTCCTCTCGTATTTAATCCTTACAATTCCAAATCAATTCTTCTTACTTCGTCACACACAAAATCATTCATAACGAACTTAATGTTCCTCATGTTTCCAATTCGGCCCAATCCAGATAACTGCTATAATAAACTTCAGAACCATCCAAACTTCTCGTTTCTATTTTTACTTCCTCTTTGATTCCTGAAAATCCTCTGTGGTGGCTGAAATGCAAATGATCCCGTGATTCCCTAATATAGATACATTATTAGTTTCTCAACAATTCTTTTCATGTTATCGGATACATTTATTCATATTTACTAGGTATATTATTATTTTAATTCAGCGGTGAATAATAGTTTTTGTTGATGTTTATACGTTTATAGAAATAGAAATAGAAAAATAACTTTATTCTGGGATACAGTCCCTTGAGCATAACAAAATAGAACAAAATTAATATATTACATCTAGCCAAAATAAAATCAATCGAGTCTCTTCTAATTTATACATTAGAAAATTTGGAATATTTGAGTTATATTTTATTAGAGTTATTATTTGTCCTTCAATCAGTAAAAAATCATTAGAAAATTACTTCGATGTAGTGATGTAAGTCTTAACTTAAACACCTCTTCTTAATATTTGATATTTTTAATTGTTCTTCATTGACCTACTCAAAATACCGTCAGATGAGGTAACTTTAGGAAACTTTTCAAAGTTTTAAGCTGCTTTTATCTTTATTTTCAAAGTCAAAGTGCTTAAAAAAATATTAACATGTAAGGCCAGTGTTCCTCTTACAAAATATGGCGGAACAATAACTCTAGAAACAAGAGTATTTTATTTAAAAAAAAAAATTAATTTTGTCGTAATCTTACCGGATCGATTGGGACAGTTCATTAACTCCATTAGAAACGTCAGGAAGAATGATTTTGTACCAACGTTACTACCCAATATTATATAGGCTCATTAATTACATAAGAAACAATAATGAAAATGAGTGTATTCCAATTTTATCCAACAATACTATATTTAAGAGGTCATGATAACAATAAATTCGTATTAATTAGTATTGAATCCTCGAAAGTATACGGAACAAACAGAAAATGTAACAGACATTATTCAAAAACTTCGTACAATTTAGTTTTTGTTAACTGAAGCCAAGATATCGCTTTAAACTTCAAGCTCTTTCACTACGAAAATTTCTCGCTGGCCAACTTGTCCTTCGAGTAGTGAATTTCTTCAGGCGTTGAGGGCCATTAGAAGCCGATTTTTTCATGGCTGATATTAATACTTCGGTAATCTCATGTTCGCAGTTCTCGGTGCACAAGTGATAGTTTCATGAAACAAGAAATTTGATACAAGCAATGGAAATAAATAAAATATGCACCACGAGTGTAGTGAACTCTCAAACTGCCGCAAGGTATAGCACAGTACACGCCTACACAAATCACGTTTTTCCAGACTGAACCAACACAGGGTATCCACCACGAACACCACAAACTAAACTAAGGCGTAAAGTTTATCCGCTGTCCCAAATTTACCCCATCTTACGGTAGTTAATTGATGGTGTTCAATAATTTTATATAAGGAACTATTCTATATTAAAGATATTTTTTAATATTTAATACTTGTATATTTATATTCAGTTTATGTCCAATGCTTGTTTGTGATCCTCAGCGTATAATTAATCTAAATTGTAAAAGTATATGGATTTTTTTTTTTTTAGATATCACACTTTAATTTTATATAACAATTTTAGCGTACTGTAAATTGGAAAGGTGGCCTGTGATAGCAGAACGCGCTCTTAAATGAAAGGTAGATTTTAAGATAAGTACTGCTGTTTGTTTTATTCCAGCGACAGCGCAGAGAAAATAATAGTGCCGTTCCTACCCACTATTTGACCTTTGACCCTCTTGTCGGGGGTGAATGTTATTTTACCAATACATGATATTTTTGCCTCTCTATTAATCTTCCTGTCAACCCCCAACGTTTCATTTCCATGCTACTAGTTATAAAAACCTATTCTAAAAATTCCAGGAATAATTTAAAAATATGAGTGAAGTTAATTTAACTTTGATGTTTAAGGAGAACAAAGAGACAACGACGGGGTGTTTGAACTTCAAAAGAAACAAACACAATCACAAATAAGACTTTTTTTTTCTACAAACTCAGAGCAAAAGTTAATTTAGCTTTACTGAAAATTACGTGAAATTTAATTATCGGTTGTAAGTGTCATGGCTGTAAAATGGAGTCGACCAAAGAATACAGTTTAAATTAACTTTTTGAATATAAACTAAAATTTTATAATCTCATAAAAAAATTGTATAAGGCGAACCTTCTATTCCATATAATCAATGCCTTCCTCATTTTGCAGACATTATATTATTAACAGTTATTTATTTTCGATTTAATTATGTAACAGTTATTTATTTCTGTTTTAATTATTAAGTGAAATTGTTACTGGTCAATTTCTACACTATTCCCTCAAAGTTTCTGTCAAATCGAACAATTTGTTTTCAAACTATAGTTCAAAAAAGTAGTGGATAGAAATTGATTCATACTTGATCTTCTGTTTACCAATCCCTAACTTCTCTCCGAATTTCAGCCAAATCGAACGTGTAGTTTTAGAGATGTAGATGTATCAAGGAAAACACATTTGCTCATATTTAAGAAAGTAGTGGACGGAATTCAATTTAATTTATACTACATCATTTCTTTATGAATATCTACCATTCTTCCAACTTTTAGCCAAACCAAACGAGCCGTTTCTGAAATAGTGGCATATCTAAAAGTATACGTTGGTCTTTGTGTAAGCGGAAGTAATGGATTGAAAGATATGGATGATAAAATTGATATGAGACCATCTAGGGACCAACTCGCACAATATGAAAATTTCATAAAAATCAGAAAACGGTGTTAGGTGTTACATCGATTTGTCTACAGACAGACAGCGAACCAAATTTGATCCTTGCATCGATCGTTGCATAATATATTTCTATGATATTTAATATAATATATGGTTATTGCATTGATGTATAATCGTAAAACGCGGGTGAGATATTTCTATTCCCAGTATGAAAATTCACTTTTTGAATAAAGTTTATTTTTATTTTAAGTAACACCGTTCCATTAAAATATATAGTAGAAAATAATATATTTTAATTTGTATCGATTAATTAATTTTAATTGTTTAGTAATGTCTCATAAAAATACGTTTTAGGCTTAGAAAATTTCAATACTTACTATGATTGTGTGAAATGAAAATTGCACTAAGGATTGTGCATTATTTGTATTCCGAATTTTAAGTATTTTTTAACTACTCAATGTATGCTCTGCCATTTTATCCGATTTTTATAAAAAAAAATATTGCAGCTGTTTTTGTGGTATGCGGTACCTTTGTCGCCATTTTGGATATCTGAAATCTTAAGGTTTTTTTAATAATTTTTTTATTGACACCGTTTTGGAGTTCTAAAATTTCAAGTTTTTTGTAAAGCTATTATTTATTTAAATCCCTGCCGTGCCTAGTAGGCAATACGGGTGTCTGCAATAGTAAGAAGTTAGGCAGGTCAGCTTAACACCTCACTGCTGCAAGTAAATCTTGTTCTTCTACTCTTTCTTGATTTCATTGGTTTTCTTGATTGAATTTCTTATACTTTTCATACCAATGGTCTAGTAGCTCCTCCTCCTCTTCTTAGGTGGAAGTGGACGGGTGTCTGCAATAGTAAGATGTTAGGCAGGTCAGCTTAACACCTCACTGCTGCAAGTAAATCTTGGTCTTCTACTCTTTCTTGATTTCATTGGTTTTCTTGATTGAATTTCTTATACTTTTCATACCAATGGTCTAGTAGCTCCTCCTCCTCTTCTTAGATGGAGGTGGACTGGCCCCACCACGGCTTTCCACTCGTACACAAAATCTTTGCAGTACGGGTATTTTCAATGCTGTAACTTAACCTCTTGTCAAGAGAAGAGGTCTTAATGGGTTTAAATCACAAAGAAATTATTGTATACAATGTTTTGAACAGTCCCCTAAAAAGTATATCACTATATCTTGTTCTTATAGTTTCTTGTCTTCGCTGAATTATTATTATAGCTGGATTAAAGTAGTTTTATTAATAAGCATTGACTTTGAATATCACTATGTTTTTTTCCCTAAACGACATAACAACCCATCTTCAACCGATGTGGCACTAATATTTATTCATAGCGACCTTATTTACTACTCGCTCACATCACAATAATTAATCTGACATGTTTTATTTGCCTCTCTCAGTGCTGAATTTCAGTCTTAGAAAAAAGTAAGACTCTTCAGATTCGGATCTTATTAATCATAGAACCATATCAGGATATCAGATTAAATGTGATTATTGAGTGATACTTTTTTTGCATATACATTAGTATTAATTATAAAATTAGCTGCTAGCAATTAGAGTACTTAACATGGAAACGATTATTTCGTTGAGAATGTTTACAGTCGAGACATTGACCTGGATCCAAAAACTGACCTCGAAGTTAATAAAAAGCGAAATTGTTAAGGAGCATTACCATATAAGGTACCGCTACCGATCAGGCAGGGCGTTCCAAACAAGGCACCTAACTGATTAATTTGCTGTCTAACAGGTCTTTCATTCGGCCCTCTAATGTTACTGATGCTGATGTTACTAGATTTTATCTCCTAGAACAGCTTTAGATCCGATGGTTATGAGAGTGTTTTGTCTGTTTGGACGCTATTCGCTTATTGGAATGTGTACAACATTCTCTTTTTAATATTATAGCTGTTATAACACAGCCTTTCTTCACCGATTTAATTCATTAGTGTTGGAATCTTATAAAGTTCAGATAGTAGGCACATTTTGATTTTACTTTATATTATGTAGTACTTTAATAGGTCTTATGGAAAAAATTGTTGGAAATTTCTCAACATCTCCCAGTGTGTTGAACGGTGTTGAATTCGCCATTTTGCAAATTCAAAGAGACTCGACTGACGTACGACCCTTCTGTCGAATCGCGTTTGATTGGTAGAGTATTAGTAAGATATTTTTCTCCCAAAAGTGTCTTAGTTTTTCCTATTACATACTTAACATGGGAAGTGATTTCCAAGCTACACTTCATTTCATTCCAATAGAATTCATCAATGGTAGAATTAGAAAGATTTTGGAATTTATTAATAATATCATTTTTTTTTTTACAAAGATCATTTACGTATTATTTTTATAAAGCTATTTAATTAATAAGTATTATTTAATTTATACTATATTAATTAGTGCAAAAAATCATTGATCGCGCCAAAATAACATAAACTATATCAAATTCTAAAAAATACTCACACTCATGTAAACCACGTTTTGATTTCACTGAATGAAAATTCATTTAATTAATCAGATATTTAATTATAATTATATAAAACAACGTTCAATGGTATAGTATGGACAAAATGAAATCTATTTTTATACAAACTAAAATAAAAATTAAAGGATGGAGATGGTCCCGGGCGGCGGTCATAAATAGGCTGAATAGTGGCAAAACTATTTTAATCAAAGCCCTAAAAGTATAATATATAACTATAAAACTATTTTATTAAGTGGGCTTTTAATAAAATAGTTTTGCCACTATTTTCAGCCTTTTTATGACCGCCACCCCGGACCATCTCCTTCCTTTATAATGAATGCAACGGTCAACTTATTATTAAATATTCAATATAAAATAAAAATTGGAAAAAATAAAGTGAGATAAGAAAAAAATGTGTGCATAGAAAAAATTTAATTAATTAATAATGATTTTAAGAATATAAATTATAGTAAAAAAAGGTTTAATTAATACATTGGAAGTATAATAAAAAGGAAGAAATACTTGTTACACATTCATACCTATATTTACATTCAGCTTGGGGAACTCAGAACCATGCTTTGCTGCTCTCATATTAAAGGCAAAGTAGATTTCAAAGAGATTCCAGCGGTTCTCTTCCAGCCGCCTCACTGGTATTAAAAGCCAGTGCAGACAATGATACTGCTAAAGCCACCCACATACCATCAGGATTTGCGTGAAGAAGTTGACCACTACCGAAATACCAATACAATATTTCCAAAAGATCTCAGGGCCTTTACTGTTTCAACCTTCATGGGAATCATATAGGTGATTGGAGCTTGAGATGGATTGTATTAAGAGATTAGGAGAACGGGTAAGTTTTTGATTTAAAGTTTGAATATTTGGATGGAATTATGTCGAGGACAAATGGGAAACTGAGGTAATGAGGTAAAGTTTTGTTTGTGACGTAGTATGGACTATTGTTCTAAGGACTCTGGAACGAAAGGATTACGTTAGATGTTCTATGATTTATCTGTCTCCTACAAGTCCATAAGTCCTGATCGAATTTATTATCGTCTCGTATATTATCTTTCAGTTAATTTTTCGTTATTTATTTAGTCATATATATTTTTTTGTTGTTGCAGCTTACGACGAGGAAACAGCGGCGGCGTTGTAGTGAGGACAGGCCCTGCTCCACCCCAGCCTCGCTCCGCCCCTCAGGTCAACGGAAACTCCACGCCGCCCTATGAGCCCGTAAAGGTGAGTTCGCTCCGTTCATAAATTTTCATTAATATTATCTTGCTTTCAGATAACAAACTCTTGGCTTAATTAATACCTTCGTGTCATCAACCCTTCTTGCTTTTCATCAAAATTCATAATGACGAACTATACTGTAATAATAATGTTAAGAACTAGGCCTTAGGCCCGTGCGAAAAATTCGCACAGCATATTCTTTTCAAATCAATTGTTACTTTATCGATAAATATAATCGACAAAGGAAACAAATAATAATTTAAATTTCATTAAAAATTCATTAATGTTTGAAACCAACATCTTTACAAATTTCAGTAAGCTATAACTTTGCCAAAAATTGTCCGACTTCGATGATTTTTTTTTTCTCTTTTGTAGAGAATTTAGTAATCTTTTATATAATCATGGGCATAACCTAGGGAAAAATGTGTACTTTTTTAGTTATCCACAAATAAAGTTTGTTTTCTTTCATAACTTGCCTGAATTTTTGAGGTGATTGGACTATTTTGTCCGCCTCAAGAAGAAGGAAGCCTTCGACATTGGTGGCTTAATCTTGAGATTTGGTGAAGAATTAACGATGATATGGCTTGCCGATCAAAAACACCATCGATAAGTAATATAAACTCCTCCTCTCTCGATGATAGAGGTCTCAAGTCGACGAAATGAGACATGTATTCAATGACAGTTCTACAATTAACGTAAGGTTGTGTGGATGCGAACCCTATGACTTGTGTTATCTCGAAAATAGTATGTTTTTGGTCTTGCTGTACGCATCAAAATCTTCAAGGTCCAATTTGTCCCTTATCGATCTGCAGACCTACCACCGCTCCAGTATCTAAGCCTAGCAAAATGTTTGTATCGACTTTATTTATTTTAGAAAGAAAAACAAAAGTGGAGAATACGATTCGCTAACCCACAGTGAAATTCGGAATCCAACGGTACCCCATTCATGGTATTTGAGCATGACAGGAGCTTATATTTGGCACAGAACCGATTTCGAGCCTTACTGTAATAATATATGTGTGGCTAGATAATAATAAATAATGTCGAAAATCTTGGTTTTCTAAATTCCAAACACAGATGCAAGTCCAATTTTCGAGTTTTAATCAGTGATTGACAATATTCATCTCTGTAATAGCCCGAATACTAAGCCCATTAGACAAAAATAAAGTGAGAAAAAAATACCTTTTTGGTGATACTCATAAACCAAAATTTACAGAAAAGCTCTTAACACACTTTTCAGAGGCATCACAGGTATATTCAACTCAATTATATTGATTTCAAATTTTAGTAAACTAAACATTCCATGCTAAAGGTAAAGAGATTTATTTACTTTTCGTGGTGAAGAATGTCCATTAATTACCTAGAAAGAGATAAATCAACAATTTTTCTCCTATGTAGACAAGATAAGCATATTTGTTAATAGGCTGTGAAGTAATAAGACACATTTTGATGCAAATTGTCAGTCTTAACTCTGTGCACTTTAAATTAAAAAACTTTACATTCACTTGTGTATAATTTCAAGCAACTAGAGATGTACCTGGAAAGAACAAAGGGTACAATATATTTAAGGTTCAGATTAATGTGTTTTGATCACCTCTTAGTATGAAATTTTCCTGTTTGAAGGTATATTGTTGGGAATAGCAAACATGATATATGGAGTGATGTACGGCTGAGGATAAAAACATTGCATCCAAAATTCAAAGTACATTTATTTTTGTAGATGCAATTACAATTATTGTATACATTTTAGCTGTAAATCTAAAAAAAATATGTCACCAATTTATTGTGCACTTATTAACGAAACAGTTACCATTGACTTTTTAAGACACTGATCCCAGTCTTGCGATAGGAATCAACAAAACCAGCCTTAATTATTTTATAATAGTATGCTTACTGTTAATAATTTAATAAATAAACCTTGAAGTGAGAAGGGAGCGTTGGCCTTGTATACCAACAGAAAAAATGCTCATTTAGATGCTCATCATTTTAAAAGCTTAGTGACTGAAACAGAACTGAAATTGAAAAATTACTCATATATTTTACAATATAAATATTTTTTTTATCCGTCCTGATCCTTCTCTTTAGAATATTTCCCTCAATAAGGTGATTGTATTACACACACCACTATTTTAAACTTATATCACTTGTAAAATTAGTAATATATAACTACTATTTACATGAAAAATATTAGAGTAATTAAAGAGTATTGAAAATTAGTAAAAGAAGACCACTTAATAGAATTTAGAGATAAATAAAATAATGTAAAATATGATGCTACTATTTTTTTTTACTTGAGTTGCTTGCAATCACTATTTTTATAAAATTATTATAGATTAAATCTTTTTAAGGATTGTGCGAACTCAGTAAAATTAAAAAAATAAATTTATCTTTATATGTCATTACTGATATGTCTTCCCTTCTGGGATATATAATCATATAATGAGAGGATCAGTACATTAAATGAATGGTGCTGCCGAAATTCATTGGGTTTTTACATCTCTCCTATAATACATATTTGACGATAATCCACAACCAATCTTCTTGAATTATCTCTGCTGGTAACACCATCTTCACTATTGTAAAAAACTGTGATTAAATTAAAAGGAAGATTTTCTGATAAAATTTCATTATATTATTAATGCAATTTTTCATGATTTATAACTTTATATAGGAACAACCCCTTTGCGATCTAGAAGCAACTAATAAATTCATGTCGGAATAAAATAATGAACTAGAAGAGGTCGTTAGGGCTATGTAGAATGAAGGACTATGAAGTATGAAAATACCCCAAACTTTTGTAAATTGATAAAATCATAAAATCTTTCATATAATATACCTATAAACCTTCTAAAAATATACATCCATGGTAAGCTAAATTAGGGCAAATTTCTTTCGTCCAAGCCCTAAATCTGGATATAAAAAAGAAATTGCGTTTGTAAATTCACAGATCATTTCACTTTATCATCATCATCACATTCAGTTCTTGAACTGATTTATACCAAACAAGCTGAGTACATTTTTTTGGAATAGATCCATAGGTAGGAGGATTAAAACATTCGATAAGGCTTTGTTAGATGGATTGAGCACTAGAACATTATATCAACTTAAAACTACAGTTATTTCCTAACTACTAGATTCATTTTTTAATTTATATTTACTTTCTGTACATTATCCTATCACTGTTAGGATAATAATGGATAAAATCCGTGATTTTATAAATTACTGCATTTTTCTACCTTCTTTTCTCTTATGCCTGAAAAAATCCAATGAATATAATTATGATTCTTCTTAATTAAGAATATTCGTTATTAAAAATAATCATTTGACTTCCTACATGTGCATTCATTTAGTACTTAGTTTCTGTTATGTACTATTAAATTTTGTTCCTATCATATACCATTAAATTTAGTTCATTTATTAGTTTTAATTAGGTGTACTGATAATTTTTAAGGTTGTAGAGAAAATGATGTATTTTAAAGGCATGTATATATAAAATTTAATTGTTATAATATAAAAATGATATAAATCCTTATTTAGAAGTTCCAATTATAATTGTTTAATTTTACATTGAAAATCCTTAGTCGAGTAGTTTTATAATGGTTTTTTATTGTATTGATTGTGGTTCCTCCATCAGAAATATTTATGCAGGTACATTAAAATTATCTCAATTGTGTGTATTGAATTGTAAAGAGACTTTTAATTTTTTTTTTGTTTGCCTGAACCATTTCTTGAATATTAAATTTTTCTTAAACTAAAAACTCTGTGGTATGAAAAGGAAACTGTTTCTTTTGTGAAGTATGAACTGTAGTGGTGCTGGCAATTTACCCCTTCACTGTTCGCTGTAGGCAATATGAAAGGCTTCCCTGAAATGCGGGCTTGCATCATATTCTCTCAGGGGCTTTACATTCCCAACATGCCCTCAGTCCTTATCCTTTCTTAAAGGTTATGAATAAAACTTAGCTATCCTTATTATTTTTCACTCATGCAAACTCTGTCTTCTCTAGCTTTTAGTTCCGATTCATAATTATTTATGTTGAATAATTTTTTTGTTAATGCTATTCCAATGAAACAAACTATATTCATCAGGGTTATTTTTTCAAGCATTAGCAGGTCTATAAACTTTACTTGAATTGTTTTAAAAAGTTACATTTCAATTGTTCCGATAAAATGTTTTTGGAAAGAAGGTTTTTATGATAAAAGTTATATAGACCTTTTTTTTTTGTAATTAAGTTCTGGCTTTATTATTTATGTTGAACCTTTATGTATTTAAGTTTTAAATAAAATGTTGAGGTAGATGGATAATAAAAAATTATCTTGAATTAAAATTTATAATTTTTATAAATAGTTAATTTTATAATTAAATTAAGTTAATTTTAAAACATTGAAATTATAAATTTCCATGAGAAAAAATTGTAGTTCCGAAGGCATGGGAAAACATTTGGAAATAAGTACTCTAATCACATCGTAACTAACAAAAATAAAACAAACTAAATAAATAACAGCTTGATTTCATGCACAGCGCGCTAGTTCTCATTGATATGATAGCTTTGTAAATGGTTGATTACATTGGTTTAGGGAAGCATCCATAGTTAATTTTTAAATCAGTTTATTTTAACTAATTATATATTACTAGTTGTTTTATATGTTTTTTGCCATAAGTGGAGTACCTTTGTTTCATTAAAACCTGCTGTAAGGTTAGGCAGTGCTAATGGAGGCCGCAATAATTCTGTATATTTCACCGTTGCAATTTTTATTTAGCACTTAATACATACACCACACGCATACATTCAATTCAATTCTATTAATTTCCAAATTGTCATTACTTAAATAAATCTATCACTTGGTTAATAAATATCTCCCGAATACGTTTGGAGGCCGCAATATGCCACTGAGGCCACATGGGCGGTTCCCCACCCGTGGTTTAAACCTTATACTATTTATTTTATGAATAAAACTGATTTAAACAATAATAAATTATCTTTAATAAAAAATATAAGAAAAGGATATTCCTCTTTAGTATACTGGAA